AGGCAGGGCTCCGTGAGGATGCCATTCCCTAGATGGAGGGGACACACGGAGAAAGCCCCTGCCCCTTCTCGCTGCCCGCCGAGTCTCAAAGGAAGATCCCAGATTTTGAGCGAGTGACCCAGTAATCTGTGGTCGGGAGAGTCACTCCAGCAAGTACTGAAGTACTAAGTAGGTTAAAACTAGCACTTAATTTGGGTTTAGAGCCAGTGTGGTGGTGTGGTAAAGAGTGCAGGACAGTGTAGAAATCCCTTCAGTACCAGGGAGTTTTGATTGTCTAGTGATGTGGGGAAAGGGAGCACTGTGTGTGTTTTAGGCAGCTTTGGGTCGCAAGGAAAACATTGTGTGGAAATGCAGAGGGGCAGCTTGTTGACTGCGTGTTCTGACGACTCCATGATGTTCCGCTGCGTTTTCCCCCATTGATGCTTTAGGGCTGGGAATGGCTTCTCTTGGTGCCTGCCAGACAATGTGCCCTTTTATGGATTCATTACTTTCTATACCTGGGAGACCAGCATCCTGTGAAATGCACCTCTCAGATCTTTATCTGGGACAGTGGCTTTGTGTTCTGAGTCCACCTCTGCTTGTTCCAGGTTCTCAGACATGGGATAGTCTTGCCAGTTTGCTGTCTCGGAGAAGAGTGTTTTGTGACTCGCTGTGGACAAACCCGGCCGCAGAAGGACAGCTGTTCTGTGAGATTGTCCGAACCCTAATTGTGCTGCTTGACCCCAAAGTGCTGGGCACCCCTGCTGTAGGAGAAGCGAAGCCCCCAAAGTACTAGGCCTGCTCTGAGTCTGGGGGCAGCAGCCCCTGGGAAAATTGGAAGAACTTTGTATGTTTAGCCTGGAGAAGAGACAGCTGAGCAAGGAAAGGAGACGGTCACATAGACCAGAGAGATTCCTTCTGAGATGTCTGAGAAGACAGCATTGGAATTAATAGACTTAGTCTGGCGGGGGGAGTAGATTTTGATGGGATGTTGGAGCAACATGCTGGTTTTGAGAGCAGTTTGCCGGGCCGTCTTTCTGCAAGCCTTGTCTTTCTGCGCCTTGTCGAAGCTGCCGCTGCTCTTCTCCTCCACAGCGGCCCTTTCGGCTCCCTCCTGCTTCAGCCCAAGCACCCCGGTGAGGAGGAAGGGCAGAGATGCGGCTGCCAACTTGTCAAGCAAGCACGTGGTGAGGAACCTAAAAAGAGGATGTGGCACAACCTTGGCTGTGGATGATGGGCATGAAAAGGGAAATGCACTGTGGGGGGAGGGGTTGCAGGAGGGCTCGCCCAAGGGCCCTCCCAGCCCTGGGGACGGCCCTGAGTCGGTCTCCGGGGTCTCCGGCTTTCCGCAGCAGCAGAGCGGCCAGGCCAGGCCATTCATCACCATGGCAACAAGAAGGCCTCTTCCGCTGCCTCTGTCCAGGCTTGGCCTCCAGAAGCCCACCAGCCTCGTCGTTATGGCCCCTTTGGGTGAAGCCGAGGCCTGCAAAAATCGACGCCTGTCCAAAGGGCTGCATAAAACATCACGCGGTGCTCTTGGATGCACGTCAGCGGGCTGATTAAAATCCAGCCCCGGCTTGGCCTGGCAGTAGGACACGGCCAGGCCCCAGGCAGCTTGGAAGGAAGGATGCTTCCGAGGGAAGACGCCCTCTCTGACAGAGCAGTTCAGGCCTGTTGCGTTTAAAATGGCAATAGCGAAATGAGACACACATCCTTTTTTCTTTTTCATGTACCTAGCTTTGCTCTGCAGCGGCAATAGCCTTGAAGCACAAGTTTTTCTTTCTGCAAAAACAAACAACCAGACCGACAAGCAAACACACACACCCCCTCAGGCAAGTTGCTACTGGCAACAGAAACCGGTGTGCTTGGCTCTGCTTTGTTGTTATTTTTTTCAATAAGCGCCTCTGGTTGACTGGCTGCCTTTGTGAACAGAGGTGGCATCCACAAGCATGCACTGCAAAAGCAAAATACATCTGCTTCTTCTGCCCCCTCCCTCCTGCAGGACAAAGCCAGTGCTTCTGCGTTACTAGTCCTGGACTTAAAATTCAAACCAGCAGACTCTTTGCCGGATCACGTATTCTTAAACACCTGGGAGAACTGCAGTGCGTCATGAAGTTGGGTGCGGACAGAATGACTCCAGCATCTCGGAAGAACAGTTGTAGCCGTGCTGAGCCATTAGGAAAAAGCCCCAAATCCACACTGAGATAACCCTTTATTACGACGAGCCCAAATGCCGTTATTCCAGCTTCCTGGCACTGCCCACTTCCTGGCATGCCACACCTGTTCTCTTTTCCTCCCTGACAGATTTGAGAAGAGGAAGCAGTCGGCCGGGATGGGTGGGGCGATAGGCACTGACTGGGGGGCACAGCCTTGGAAGAGGCTTGGGTCTGGGTGTTGGCTGGTGCCTTGCAGCCCCTAACAAGGGTGTGTTGTCTTGGATGTCCAACAGAGCTCGTCTTCTGCCTTTTCACTTTGGACTTCGGCATGCACTGAAGCGCCTGAGGTCGGAACTTCCCATCCCTTTGTGGGGTCGCAGGCAAGACTCCCCGAAGATCAGGCTGCACCTGCAGAAGAACAGTGACCCCTTCCAGCCCAGGGCCTGATTCCATCTGAGCTCTCAAGGCCACCTTCCAGGGGTGGGCAGCCCCCTCCCCGAATACCACCACGTTTCATAGAACAGAATTGAGAGGGGCTTAGAAGGCCACTGGGTCCAGCCCCCCGCTCAATGCTGGATGCCAAGTGGAAGCATAATCGGAGCTTAATGCTTTTGCGGCCAGTGGTTCAGCCCTTTCTCCCTTTGGGATGGGAGGGGAAGAGTCCCAGCCTGGCGGGATTTGGCCCCCCAAGTCTGAGGTCCTGCAGGAGAGAATCCTGGTTCCCATCAGCCAAGACAGAACCCCATTCGTAGGAGGATGGGGCGCCCCAGCTTCCTTGCTGCTCAGAAATTCCAGCTTGATTTTGGCACAGGTGTGTGAGAGCAGAAAAGGCGCCAGCTCTTGTGAGGCAGAGACATGAGGGAGGTGCTCAGTGCCCAGCTGCTTTTATAGAGGCCAGGATAACCGCGGTTCGCAGCGCCACACAGCACGAAACCCCGCCACAGCCAGGAGGAAAAGCGTCTGGCTGCCTTTTGAAGAAGTGCCTTCGTGTACGTGGAGGTGAACCAGGTGCTTATGGGGGTTGAATGCTTGGGAACGGGCCCTGGGAGGGGCTGAAGACCCTCTCATGGGGGGAGTTGTGACTGGACAGAGGATGCTTCTGGCAAGCCAGCTGCTTATGTGGTGGGTGCGCAACTTGTAGGCTAAAAAACCTGGAAGGTCAGAATTCCCCCAATCCCTCCCTATTGGTGTGCTGGCTACAGCCCAAAACATCTGGAAGGCTGAAAGCTACTTATGAGAACGCTCCAGCTGTGGGGTGATATTGATGTAAGATGGAGCTTTTAGGTTCCATTTTGTATACTGAGCACGGAACAATGTGTGTATTCCTTAAAACCAGGGACTGACGCAGGCTTCCGAGTGACTCCAGATGTGTTGACTACAACTCCTATCAGCCCCAGCCAGCATGACTGTGTTAGGAAATGGTCAGTAAAGGGGATTTCTTGCGTTCATTTCAAAATCAAAGCCAATTCAAACCAAGTAAACTGGGGGGGGGGGGGGAAAGTGGGTGGGAAAAGTGAAGCTAAAATGGTGCATTTTCTTAGATATAGATATATAATCTCATCTATCTATAAATAAAAAATATGGGCAAGATTTAGTGTATTAGTGAAGATAATCATGCACAGATTTCCAAGGAGCATGAATATTCCCATCTTTTTCCACATGTAGATTATGCTTAAAAGTCACCTGCCTGAAAAGTTAAAATTTCACCAGGTCCTCCACCCATCGAGTTATTCCAGGTGGCCCATTTAACCTTCCGGTGTTGTGATATTAGTTTTCTTAGTTACCAAAAGGGTGTGGAAAACTCACTTGTGTTCCCCTCGCTCCCAGAGACAACCAGATCATTAACAACACACGTATTGGCAAATTTGAAAGCACTTCCCATGAAAAACTAGTTGCGTTGTCTCCTCCCCAAAGGAAACAGCTGTGGGACATAGTCAAACATAAGTATGAGACATGCTCATCCTATTCCATCTTCAAAACGTAGCCAGTTGTCAAAAAGACATTGCGGTAACTTGCATACCCAAAACTTCCATTTTGCTGACTTCAGGGTAACCTAAGATTTATGTCGTCCAAATAGTTGGGACTACCAGACTGGGGAAGGGGCAGGCAATCTCCTCATGCTTTTCTCCATGCTGGTTTCTGGGACGGCTGAAGTGCCCGCCCCCCCAATCAGAGAAGATGTCCAAGCCTGCTTGGGGAAAAGCAAAATTTTGCACGCCTTTGGAGAAAACACCCACCCCCAGCATTACCAAAAACACCCCCTAAGCCAGTTCACTGACAACTCAACAGCCCAGCAGCCACAAGAGTGCTGCCCAAGGGGTTTTTTGGGGGGGTACGGTGGGGGGAGATGGACAGGGAGCAATTCAGGGAAGTATCCTGAACAAGAGCCATCTACACGGCAACTTCTTGTTGCAGTGGACATCACTGTATCTTGGTCCCTGTTTCATGACTGCTTCTTCTCCTAAAGAATGTTGGGAATTGTAGTCAGCCACGGGTACCCAAAACTAGGGTTCCTCAGGAGGATGGGGAGAAGGCTGACTGCCACAGAAGGTTTGGGGGCTTAGAAATCTTCGCTAACAGTTAAGCAAGCTTAAATGCATAACCTCCAGAGATGCTTAAGGCATGATCCTATGCACTGTATGTTCAGACAAAAACAGTCCCAGCAAGCCCAACCCGCACAGAGAAGTTGGTTAAACTTGTATCAGAGTGTGCCCGTAGGGTGTCCTCTTTGCCTATTTGACAGAAAGAATTCTGCAGTTCCCCAAATCCCTCAGGCTGGCTGGACTGTGCCAAAAAGATTTTTCTGCCTCCACATCCAGAAGTTTTATTGTTGTATGAGGGGGAAAAAAAAGCCCAGCACAACCATTTCTTTCTTATCTGAATGCAGGATTTTATTTCGTCACTTCTCTTCTCCATTTGAAGCTTGCTATACAAATGGCACTTACAAAAGTATATTTAAAAGGAAAAAAAACTTAACAAAATATACCAGAATGTGAGATGCTTTTCAGAGCCACAACAGCAAAGGTAGAAGGCAAGGAAGAGAACTCTCGACGTTAAACGGTTACGCAGAAGTCGGTGGGGTCGCTCGGGAGAGGGATGGGAGAGGCCACTGGAAGGGTGAAGCCTGGCGGGTGTTAAAGGATGGATCACACCCTCGGCCCCGCTAGAAAGTCATCTCTGTTCCCACCATTGCCTTTCCTGGTTGCCCCCAAACAGCCCCTGGAGCGAATCCCCCTTTACTAGTAAGGCAGATAATTCCAGTTTCCTTAAGAATTTAGCACCAGACATCAATGGCAGTATCCCGTTAAGATAGCAAGGTGATTTTTTATTTTAAGGCTCAAAACACTCCTCCTCTGCCTGTAGTGATCAAAAGGACTAGCCCCTTGTATTGGGGCAACAGCTAACTGTCCAAGTGGGTTCTGCACAATTATCTGCTTAGCAAGGCATGAGACAGATGGATTCAAGGATTTGGGCACAGAGATGTAAGAGCACTTTTTCTCTAAAGCCCTTACTGTTTGCAGGTTGATGAAACCAGAGCATTGAGCTGGGCAAGAGATGGCTGAAGTTCAGGGTCTTGGGTGGCCTAAAGGAACAGAGATAACCTCCAAGAAGGCATCAAAGAAGAGAAATGTGGTACACGCATGTACTCGAGCCTCTTCTGAATGCTGGTACGCGTACGCAACAGGACAAATGCCCACACGGATTATATAAACCTATCGGAGGCGGTTGAGGATGGCTCTGTGAAGAGCTTCTATAAATAGAGAGGAAAGCACGGTTTTGGTCTTCTTTCCCTTTTCCAGGAACTACGCAAGCAGAGCGTGGAATTGCAAAGGTGCTGGGAAGCAGCCTCGGACAGACTTTCCAAAAACACGAGCAGGGAGGAACAGCCAAGCAGGACACACTAATGGGAAATGGACACTTCGATGCTCGCCCTTAAAAGACAACAGCCACTGGGTAAGGGGTGCGGAGGGCAGGGGGATTTCCAGTCAGGTTAAGGGACGAGAGAAAACGAACCAAGCGCGTGACTGTGCAAGCATCTGCTAATTCTTAAAAAGCTTTCCGAGTCTGTAAGTTGAGATTAGCAACTTGCTTCCGAGCCACCAGCAAAGCGACTGGAAGCAAAAGGGGCTCTTACTTCTCCTGCCCCTGAAGGCATGTAAACATGCAACATGTCTGCCCCCTACTCCCTTCCGCCCCCCAGCTTATCTTGGCTGCAGTGCACATAAAAAGCTGCTGAGATGTGGCTGCTCCTTAAGCACCAGGAACTCCTGAGCGAGGCCAGAAAGGAGGCAGGGAGAGGCAGCCGGCGGGCAGGAAGCAGTGCCTCCGTGCCCCGTCCTCCGTTTGTGCAGTCACAGAACCGAGCGGGGACCCCCATCTCCCTCCCGCACCTGTGAGAGGCAGCTGCTGGCTGAGGTCACATCTTCCGTGGGGGCATTCAGGAAGGAATCGAGAGAGGGCGGGCTGAGCTACTTGGCCGCCCAAGCTGAAAAAAGGGTTGGTGCAGGTTTGACTTGCGGTTTGCCATCCGCTGGATGCTGCCATCACTGGCAAGCTTCCTGTCAGGTCCCCTCGGCCACTCTCAGATTATTTTTAAGATACCAAATGCAATAATACATCTGTAGAGAGAGAGGAAAGGTCTAGAACAGCTTGCGCCTTCCAAGAGAGGGACCGGGGACTGGCAAGGCAGTGTCAGTAACTGCAGTGCAGATGTGGAGCTGTTTTGGATGGCCCGCGACACTCGCTGGGAGCCCAGAAGCACGAAGCCAGGTGGGCGCAGGAGGGCTCCGGGCAGGCGCAGCTGTTCGGCTTGCCTGGTCTCTTTGCAAGTGGCACTCCTGCCCCGTCCTGGCCCCCCGAAGGCAGCTCGTGTCGTGCGTGGCGGGCATTTCCAACCCTGACCGCCACACGGATTTCCTGGCTCAAACCTTGCTGTAAATTCGCCCCTGGTTTTCTTGCCACTGTGGCACACATGGAGCCCCTGCGTCGGAGGGACCCCTTCTCTGCCATTGGCTGAAGAAAAGATGCATTTCACTTGGGTCAAATGTCGAGAGAGAGAGAGAGAGAGAAAACACTAGCCTAATCCAGAGCGCAACCCCAGCATGAGAACGTCGCTGGCTGCCTCCCTCGCCAGCGTTGGGCCGAGCGAGCCGCCACCGTGACGGCTCTCAGCTCCGCACAGCGCCGAGGAGACCGGCTCTACTTGAGTAGGGGATGCACAGTGGAATGATTCCCTTTTTAAACGCCGAGGCCCAGGAGAGAGAAGGGGAGGCTTGGCTCTAGCCTACACAAACCAAGACCTCCCGGGAGGAAATTCAGGCAGCTAACCATTTCTCTGGGCTAACCACGTTGCTTCCAGTTTTTAAGACAGACTCACATAACGAAGGGAAGAGGCGAGCCACCCCCAATTCTATGGCTGGGGAGAAGCACAGACTGGACTGAAAGAGAACCCCTTTCCGCAGGAAGAGACACGCCAGAACATCGGAAAAACCCCAACACAAATTGGCAATGAAAGAGGCAGGGGGAGAGGACAGCGGAAGGGAAGGAGGGCCAAAGTGCATTTAGTACTCCCAGAGGGTGGAGGGGTCAACCGCGTCGGCCGTCGCCTTCAGGACCCCGGCGTGGTCGCCCTTCAGGTATTTCCCGTTCACTTTGATGGCCACCTTGTTGTAGTCGCAGAACTCAAAGAAGAAGTCCACCGGCGTGTTGCTGCTGCTGGTGATGGACGACTCGTTGCCAACCATCCAGTATTTCCCAGTCGAATCTGCAAAACGGGGAGCGGGGGAGAGAGGAAAGCGGGGTCAGCAGGCTTGGGACGGAGGGCTGTACGGTAGGAAGCCATGTTTGCAGCGAGGGGGCAGAATGTCTTTCGGCCCAAGGCTCAGAAATGGGGAAACTCTTGTGAGCTGCAGGCGATGGTGAGAGGAGCCGGTTCAAAAGCTCTTGCTTGGCGCAAGCTTTTGGAGGGGCAATTCTTCTCCCTTTTAAAGGGGGAAGGAAAGATGTGCAAATCTAGGGAACTACCAAACATCGAGAAAGGAAGAGCGGGGAGGGAGGCATGGAGAGTGGGCCTCGTGGCTATCAGGGACGCCAGCTGGGCCAGACTTGGACACGTGGCCCATGCTTCAGCAGCCGATGGATACTACTACTTGTTCTACCAGACAGTGTTTATCGTCTGCTTTCGACATCTAGCCAAAGGGCTCTCTGGATGGTTTACAGTAAAATAGCCGGGAAGAGCAAGATGCAGAAAATGAAAGAGCAACCAGGTGCAGAGGACGCAAACCGTTCAGGCAGGCCAGAGTCCTGTGGAAGCAAGGCCCTTGCGTGTCAGTGGAAGGTCAACAGAGAAGGTGCCAGGCGGACTCCTTGGGAGAGTGCACTCCAGAGCTTGGGTGCAGCCACCAAGAAGGCCCTGCCCTGCCTGCACGCCAGGTGAGCCTCCGAGGGTGGCCGGACCCAGGGTGGAAGCCTCTTCTTTTGCTCTTCTCTCAAGGGCAGCCTCATTTTGGGCACCCTGGCCTGCAGTTGCTGAGGCGGCGTGGGCAAGTTAGAACCAAGACGACAAAACACGGGATGAGAAACCTCTGGAAGGGCTGAAAAGGCCAAGTACTTATGTCAGAACAAGCCCACAAGTATTCAAATTCAGCACTAGAGTAAACAAATTCTTCAGCTTTTAAAAAGTTGAGCAAGGCTGGCAGGGTTTCTCTGGTCTTACTGATTTAGGCTCACCACGATTTATGCCTCTGGGGGAAGAGGAGAAGGAACGGCATCAAACCTCCCCACTACCCTGCAATACGGGCTACATATTTTCCAAGCAACTTTACAGCCATGAGGACTAGAACCTTCACTTTGCTTTCTGGAAGTGAAAGTGGCTGTTCTGGGGGAGCTCAATGCTTCACTCTTCCATTGAGCTCAACAGGCAGGCCGGGTGCCGTGGATGCGGCCCATACCTTTGATGTTGTAGGCACCATCGTTGAACTCCAGCTGAAAGACGTCATAAGAGGAGCGATTTGAATCCAGGGTGCCGGTCACCTTTCGGCAGCCGATGAAGCCGTGCTCTCCCCGGAGGACAATGATCGGCCGGTTAATCAGCTTCATGAGGAAATGTTCTGTCTCACCTGTCCAGCCGGGGGGAGAAGGAGAACACGCCTGACTCAGGGCACACAAACTCCGATGTGGCTTCATTCCCACACAGAGAAACTACCAAAGCTCAGTGAGCCATTCGATTTTTCCGGACTCCCAAATTATGGGCCAGTTTCTGAACCTGGCGTGCTTCAGGTGTTTTAGGGTTGCGCTCCCATCAGCTCCAGCCCCTGTGGCCAAGGACGAGGAGTGCTGGGAGCCACCGTCCAAAACGTCTGAAGAGGCCCAGGTTGGAAAAGGTGTAAGTGGAGGGTCCCAGGGGAGCCAATGAAGAAGGAAACCCCCCGAGACCAAAGCTACTCAGCCCAAACTTCCTGTCCACCTGCAGCGGCTGTCACGGTGGCCGGGCACCGCTTGAGAAAGCATCTGGGGCCGCCAAACATCTTCCTGCGCCAGCACTCGGTTCCCACCAGTTGTGGAAAGCAGAAGACGCCTTCCGCCTGCCCGCCCCTCCCTGGAAACTGCTCTTCGGAGGCATCCTCCCTGGATCCTGGAGGGAATACGGGTGAGCTGCCCCGCTCTCGCCCTGCTGCCGGAAACCCAGTCCTGGGGGCAGCCGCAGGGCCCGAGGCAAAGCCAGCCCCACGCGGCGCCCCCTCGCCTCCTGCCAGCGCCTGCGGGGGCCGGGGGCTCTTACTTGCGGTCTCCGCAGTGGCAGCCAGCTGCCCGTTCTTCTTCGCTGTCACGTATTTGCCATTGGCCGCTTTCAGCGTAATGCGCCGGTCACACCACTCGATGTCGAAGTAGCAGTTGGCATTCCTGCTTCGGCAGAGGAGGAGGGAAAGGGCGCAAGGATTAAAAGCCGTGCCATAAAGATTTGGGGGTGCTCGTTCTGGGCGCCCCAACAGGCAGCCTCGGCAAGGGTCTTGCCAGGATCCATTCACAGGAGAGAAATGTTGGGGGAGACGTACACCGACCAGCCAGAAACTTATCAGACAACTGTCGACATTTTTCAAGCGTGGCTGCCTATCGAATTGCTGGCAGCACCTGATTCTTACAATCCATTGCTGCCTTTATGCTCATCCATATAGGAATGGAAACAACGGAGAGTAATTTCAGAGTTGCAATTGCAGTCAAGCATTTTTCCCCAGGAAAAAGACCTTTCTCATCTTCTGTCACTCTCTCTCTCTCTCTTTCACACAAACACACACACACACACACACACACACACACACACACACACACACAGTGTCTGCCAATGGGTAGAGAAAGTAAATTAAAGCTTCAGCTTGCACTATTCCAAACACGGTCAAAATCATAAAACTTACTACTAACGGCATTGACTATTAAGTAATATTTAGGAGATCAGCAAAACATTGCCAAAAGAAAAGCCCAAGACTAACTGGACTTCCCTAGTGAAAAGCTCACTTGGTGGAAGCGGTGGACTGCACTCCGCCGTTGGAGGTCAAGGTCCAGTACTTCCCAGTATAGGTCCTAAAGGTGCATTTCTTGGTATCTTTGTTGATTTCCAGTTGGAAGGTTTCCTGATCACTTTCTTCATCCTGATTGGCGGAAAGGTCCATTCCTAGAGCGAGGAGATGAAGCATGAGAGAGGGAGGGGTGTCACAATCCACTGGGAGCCCAGCTCCTTGTCCCCCCGTGTCCCCAGAGACCTCTTCTCCCCTCCTGGCTAAGTACAACTGCACAAACTCCCCATCTGCATCGCTGGCACAAGTCACGGAACGCGGCTCTTTGCGGCAGAGGATCGGAGGGGTTTGTGGGTGGTTGTGTTTTGCAGAGCTCACTCTCCGCCTTCTCGGAGTAATCCCCCAGCAAGCAGGGGCCGAGGGAAAGGCTGGGTCCCGCTGGGTGCTGGCCCTGGACTGCCCCAGCCCCAGCGCCAGATCAGCACTTGGCGTGTCTGCAAGGACAGCTCCAAGAGACACGGATACGCAACTGAGGGTCGCTACACTTGCTGGTTCCCACAGGGGCCAGCCCAGCCCCCAGGGAGGTCCACGTCGCAGCTCCCGTGTGATGGATTGCAGCAGCAGGGCAGCCCGCCCATGAGGCAAAGCGAGGCACAGGCCTCAGGCGGCCGACGCACGGAGGGGGCACCATGTGTCGGAGTGGGGGGCTGCGCCCCACAAGGCCCGCCCTGCAGCCCCTCAGCCACACCGGGAGAGGCGGTCTCGTCCCTGGTGGGAAGAAAGACTCAGCTGCCAGTCCGGTTGGCTCTGGCCCATCCTGTCCATTGCTTTGGGCATCAGAGCGACTTGGGGCGACCTTGCCAAGTGTGAGAAATCCACTTGTGGAGGCTCTAAGGAGTTCCGACAGCTCTTGTTTGTTGCAGAGCTAGACAAAACAAACAGTTCTCGCATCAGACGGGACTCGGAGAGTGCTTAGTCAGCAGAGGCAGCCTCCAAAACACACACGCACAAAGAACGCGCAACCCTCACATGTTTGGCAAGTCCCCCTCGAAATACTTGCGGAGTTAAGAATCGCATACTTGGCCGTCTGCCGCGCTGGCTCCAACAAACGGAAGACAATCCAGTCACAGAGCTGGTCTCACCAGGAGGCTCAGAAGATGGCTGTTCTTAGGAGCCTTTCTGGAAGGGATCTGAGGAGGAGGAGGGCCGGGCTCCAGGGGCAAAAGCCCCCCAGGATGTTGGAAGCCAGCGCACAACCCAGAGGCCGCCTCAAGGACACGGCTGTGCTTTCACACAGCTCTCCTGGGCACGGGCAGGGCTTGCAAGAAGCTTTTCCAGGAAACTGGTCCCACACACCAGGCAACGCTTGGGGCCGTTCGGCAAAAGCCACCATCCTGGCCTGCTGGGCGGAGTGTCGGCTGCCTTCCAAACCTCACGTTCTTTCCCAACCTGCAGCTCCTCCACATAGCACAAAGAAAGTGGCTCTTCTCAGACCTTCACTGGCTGTGCAGCCGCTTCCTCAAGCTGGCAAAGCAGACATGGGTTCAAGGCACCTGGATGCCCAAGACCAACTCCAGCTGCCCAGAGGGAAGCCTTGGACTGCAACATCCATCCAGGGAGTGATGGTTCAAGAACTGCAGGAGGGACCCAGAGGAAGAGGCGGCTGCCCACGTCTCACTGGGAGTGCCACTGGGCTTGAATAGCAGCAGCAGCAGCGACAACAACAACATCAGTCACAACCGCTGCCGCCAAACTCCTTAAAAACAAGCATCCCCTTCTCCGGCTCCGACAGCAATGCTAGCCCTGGCCAGCTGCTTCTCAGGGTGGAGAAGCCACCTCCACAGAGCCCGTGGGGGCTCCGTTTCCTAGGGGCCTCCAGAGCCTGCCCTTTCCAAGGCTCTGCACAGCCCCACAGTCCCTGTGGGGTTCCCTGGTTAGTGTGTTGGGAGGGCCAGCATCCAAGGCAGGCAGGATTGGGCACCCCTTGGGAAGAGCCCCCAGGCTCGCCTGCTCCTGGGCTCTCTGCCTGCCAAGCAAGCAAGCAAGCACCCACCCACCAGGGTGGGGGCCCAGGGAGGGTGTCTTGCTCCAGGACCCTCAAAACTGTGTGGCCAGGACTGGGTGTTTGCCCCCACCCTGATTCTCCCAGCCAGCACAAAGCTGGCTTTCGAATCCGGCCTCCAGCTGGGTCCACTCACATCTGGGATTCAGACTTTTCTCAGCTGAATGAGCCAGTGTGTTTGGCTGGATATCAAGAGGTGCGAAGCAGAGACGAGGGAGGCGAGCGAGCGCGAGGGAGGGAGGGAGGAGGAGGCTGGTTCTGCCTGGTGTCACTCGTGAAGCGATGCTGACTCAGCGCTTGAGAGGGTTCCTTGAAACCCGGGGCCGAGGAGATTTCTCCGAGGAGGAGTCGCAGCTGAAAGGGAGGCTGTTGCAGGGAGACAGAGCGGATATTGCCTCTGCAACTCGCCAAACCAGCTCACAGACGCATGCAGCGACTGGCCTTGCCCAGGCCAGTGATCAGCATCTTCCCGCAAAGAGAGAAAGGAGAGCTGGAAGCCATGTAGCAGCTGGGCTAGGTCAGCCTGGGAACTCCAAGAAATCTCTTCTCCAGCTTCCAGATGTGCTGGGCTCCAGGGTGGGGGACCAGGGACTGACTTTTCCAGAATGCAAGGAAGCAGTTAAGAGCTCTCCCTGCAGCAGTCTGTGCCCAGGACATGCGGACCTATTCCCTTGTTTTCTTTTTTAAATCTTTAACTATGAAGTTCTGGGCCAGCGGATGTACTGTGACAGTTTTCAGCAAAGTTCTCAGTCAGACCTTACTGCTAGACCACTCCGCCTTAAGTTATAAAACCTCTAAGTGGTATCACTAGGATTCAACCATCTCTTCTGGAAAGAAGCTACTCAATGGCAAGGTTCTTATGATGGAGGGATGGAACTGATCTTGCTGCCAAAGATCCCCTTTCCTATAAAAAGATCAGATGTTCATTAATGGCAATGATTTGCCAAAGTGAATGAAAGTCTCATGAAATACCAGGCTGAGATCGCTTAAAGGTCCTTTTGTTAAATATGGTTGCTTATCATTCCTCAGCTGAGCCTTTCCAAGCTAAATAACATGGCTTTTCCTCCAGTTTTCCCCCCTGTTTCATTGCACAAACAAGAACAGGGTTAGGAATTTCCCTGAGTTTTCTTATGGATGTGTCACTTTTCCGGTGTCTCTAGTTCCTCCTGCATCTTCTGGCTCCAGAAGCTCCAGGGACAACTTGCTCATGTTCTCTCTACATCCAACACAACACTAAAGTATCTTCTATATATTGGTTTGCTCATAAAACGTTCATGTTTGATAGATTTAAACAAATGGTTAATTCAGACAGTCATCACAAATTTCCTGAGTTTGCTTTTTAAAGTTTTTCAATATCATGATAATATGAGCAAACAAAATTATACATAATGTAACTTTAGCAAGATGGAACCTGCTTTTATGCTCCCAAAGCAGCTCTTCACAAGCTGGGGTCCCCCAGATGTTTGGGACTACAAGGTCTAGAATTCTTGAGCACTGCCATGCTGCCTCAGACTGATAGGAACTGGAGTCCGAAATAGCAGAAGGACAGCAGGTTGGGAGAAGGCTGTTCTAAAAATCACGGAGTGACTTTGGACCTCTGAAAAGCATCAAAGAACTTTCAGTGTTACTCAGTTTCCAACTTCTCCCAAAATGTTCCCCCTCCCGGACCAGCCCCCGAAAAAACCCTCACACTTTCCTCATGGCTTTTACAAATTTCTAGAAATGGTACATCGCGACTCCTTCCTACAAAGTAAAAATGGTGACTTTCCCCTACCATCCCAAGAAGTTTTTGATACCTTATTCATCTTGCCCACTGAGGACCAAGGGTGGAAAGCGGGCATCAAATTAAGGAGTGGAGAAAGATTCTCTTCCTTCTCGGAGGCCGTCTGGAATGCAGGGGAGCTGGCCAGGGAGAGAAAGCTGACCCCAAGACTGGACAGCTGCATGCACGAGATCTCGGCTTCCCACGGATGGCTTCAGCAGCTGCTGGTTTGTTCTGGGAACCTGGTCTGGCCAAAGAACGTGAAGGAATGGAAGGATTTCCATCCATCCCTCCTCGCGTGAAGCAATCTGGCACCATCGACAGAGAGAGAAGCCAGCCGCGACTTATTCGGAAAGGAGTGAGCAAGCGAGCATGGAACCCATCTGTGGAACCAATCCTACCAGCCACACGGGAAGGGGTTCCGCTCCATCACAGCATCCCCACCTGGCCTGCCAAATCAGGGCTGGGAGAAAACCGCTCCGTGAGACTCCGGGTAGCTCCTGCCAAGCAGAGCTGGCCAGACCGACCTGGGCTTGGCTTGCCTTGCCATCAGGTGAACTTCATCCTCCTGAGAGGACTTCCAGTTGGGGCTGGAGGCTAAAGCGCCGAGGCCCCACACACCTGAAGGACCACCCAGGCAGCAGAAGCAAGCTCTGTTTATACTCCTCGTTAAGACCCTGCTACACTTGAAGTGTTCTTAAATTGCCAAAGAGAAAGAGAGAGAGAGTGTGTGAGATTATATATCATGCTTGGCAAGCAGCTTCCTTGCTGCCTTAGCAGTTCAGGGAGACAGAAACGGTTTCAAACCGAGGAAAGGGGCTGGAGTTGGCAGTGGGAGAAACCGAGCCGGGTACTGCAGAACAAATACGGACGGCCACCTAAAGGACCCTCCACACCTTCTGATGACTGGATGCGTTCCAGCAGCCTGGTCCCCTCCAGACATGTTTGGGCTGCAGGGGATGATGGAAATTGTACCCCAAGCACATCTGCTGGGCATCAGAATGGGAAAGGCTGGATTTAAAGAGCTGCATACAGTCCTGCAAAAGGTGGCAGTCTGTGGATGGATCTACCTGGGCTCCAAGGTGGGACATATGGAATATGCAGGTATTGCTGTCTGTCTGAAGGTGCGAAGGAGTGTAGCCCAGCTGGTCGCAGGTTGGCTAGCAAATGACTTGGGTCAGTTTTCTCCCAGGATTCCCCCCTCCCGCTGTTCAGTCTCAGTTTTCAGCGCCTTTGAAGCACGGCTGTGCTCCTTCGAAGCGCATTCCTTTCCGATGAGTCCATGTAACCCAAGGCCTCCATCTGGCTTTTGGGGAGAGCGGGAGAAATTCCTT